GGAGCTGCTGGCCCACAGCCAGGCCCCCGGCAAGCCGGCCGCCGCCATGTGGCAGATGATGCAGCTGAAGAAGAAGGTGGAAATGAATGAAGAGGGAGTGACGAAGGTGAGAAACGTTTCTGCAGGCACCGTCTGGCTCACGTGGGCCTAGCTCCTTCCCTAGGACTCGTTTAAGAGCAGTGTTTTAACTCAGCTGCTCACCAAAGGTGGTTTTGGTCACTTCTCACCTGCCACAGCGGCTCTGGCGATATTTGCTCTTGACATTTAGGTCCCTTGGGTCCCATCCCACCCGCAGCAAGGGTCACCCTCGTGCTCTAGCGAGACCAGGCTCTGAGCGGGGCGCTTTGCTGTACTCCGTCGCTAGGGCCAGCGCCTGTCCCTCCTGTCCCCGTCCTGTGCCTCCGCAGCCCCCGGGCTGGATACCCTGGCACTGGGCCTGGGACCTGCGGGCTGGGCTGGAGCGCTCAGCCCTCCGCTCACCAGCCAGGGCCCTGGCGCCCAAAACATGGTCCTTTTCTCATCCCTCGCCTGCGTTACCGTGAGTGGCTGAGCCGCAGGCGGCAGTGGCGGTGTCACGCAGGCAGCTGTCCCCACGCCGAGTCAGGACCCCGTAGGAGATGTTCACATGCTGCAGGTTCAGTGTATTTGGCTGCTGACGTTTAGAGCGTGAGTCGGAAACGTAACGTGTGGAAACAGCGCTGTCTTCCTCGCTCAAGCCACGGGTTGCAGCACAGAGATACCTCAGCTGTGGTCACTGTCCACAGTGACCAGGAGAGGGGCCAGAGTCCAGGTCACTTTGTGCAGCACCCCTTGGACTGCCGACTTCTCCGCTGGCCGCGTGGGGCTGGCCTGGAGCAGAAAACCAAGAAGTTTTTTCGTTTTTTCTGAGACCCAGGGCTGGTCCCATCTTGCATTTTCATGACTTTGGCTTTGAGCCTAACTATGAAGCAAAGGGCAAGGGTGACGCCGCTTTGCCGGGGTGAGGACCCTGGAGCTGGATGCCGGTCCCTTCGCACGCCCTTTATTTCTCTTGGGGAGAGCTGAGCGGGAGCTGCCGCGTGGGTGGCCCCGCTCCTTGGGAATGCCCAAGGGCTGGGCGGATGTGGCCAGTGCCGTGGCAGCAGCTCTGTGACTTACCCCTGTGTCCCAGAGATGCTCCAAACCCGCATCTTTGCCACACGCTGCTCAGCCTCGCTTCCGAGCCTGGTACGGAGCCAGCAGCCCAGGCTGAA